CCCCAATCAGCCCTGCTCTGAGCCCGACCAGGGGCTGCACCTAGGGATTGGGCCTGCCCTCTGCCACCCGGGAGCAGGCCTAAGCCAGCAGGTCATTATCTCCTGAGGGGTCCCAGACTGCGAGAGGGCACAGGCCGGGCTGAGGGACCCCCTTTCCCCCCGAGTGCACAAATTTTTGTGTACTGGGCCTCTAGTCCTATATAATAAAAGGCTAACATGCAAATAGACCAAAGGGAACAACCGAACAACCGGTTGCTATGAGATGCTCTGACCACCAGGGGGCGCACACGGAACATGGTGGGCATCAGCCATGTCGGGATGGTGGAGCAGGTGAGCAGGGACGCCAGACCAAGGCGGGGCACCAATAGCTGTCATTGGGTTGAGCCCCTGGTGGTTACTGAAAGTTCTTTGCTCCCGTGTTGCTGTGGTCCTACCTGGCACTTGCACCTGCTGCTGGCGCCGGCCCCAATAGCTCTGTGCTGTCAGCAGGTGCGAGCGAGTGGGGCTGGCACTGTGGGAGCAGCAGAGGTGGGAGCAGGCTGCCAGCAGAGAAGGGACCGGGGGCCACGGTGGGAGGGGCCAGGCGGGGATGCGGAGGATGGGCTGAGACCTGCCCCTGTGCCCAAGGCAGCCTCGAGGCCCACAATTCCTTTCAAGGTGCACAGATTCATGCACTGAGTCCCTAGTTGTAATATAAGCTTCATGAACCACTAGATTTGTCTGTTTGGTTCACTTGTGTATATTCAGACCTATAACCTTAAAGTATAGTAAGAGCTAAAAAGGTATTTTAAAAATTATCTTTATTTAATTGTAAGGTAACATTTTTTATTTTGAGATAGTTGTAAGAAATTATAAGAAATGTAAGAAATGAATTTAATGAAATTATAAGAAATAGATTTTAAATTTTAGTGTCTACATATTCCTTGCTAGCACAACAGTTAATTCCTCAGTAAAACAACTGAATGTTTAGCTAGTTTTCTGTGACCTGGCCGAACTCACTAGTTAATTCTGTTTGTTTTGTTTTTTTGTTGTTGTTGTTGTTTTTGTTTGTTTGTTTGTTTTTTGTAGATTCCTTGAGAAATTTTACATAGTTAATTATGTCCTCTATAAATAAGATAAGTTTATTACTTGCTTTAATTGCCTTTTGTAACCTTATTGCACTGAGTAGTACTACCAACACTATGTTGAATAACACTTGTTGAAGCAGACATTTATTCCTGCCTTGTTCCTGATCTTAGGGTGAAAGCATTCAGTCCCTCTGCTCAATATTAAGTAGGATGTTACCTGTAGGTTTTTGTATTTGCTCTTTATCAAGTTAAGGAAGCTGCCCTCTATTTCTATTTCTCTGAGATTTACAAAATCATGAATGGGTGTCAAATTTTGTCATATGCTTTAAAAAAATCAGTTGGTATGATTATGTTATTTTTTCTTTAGTCTGTAAACATGGTGAATTACTTCATTTTCTTCAATAATGAGTTAGTCTTATATCTCTTGAATGGAACCCACCTGGCTATTATATGTACTACTTTTTATATATTCCTGAATTCTCTTTGATAATGTTTTGTTAAGGATTTTTAAGTCTATATTAGTAAGAGATCTTTTGTGTATAGTTTTCTGTTATGTTTTTGTCTGGTTTTGGTATCAGGATAATACTAAGTACATAAAACAACTTCTACTTTCTGGAAGAGATAGTCAAGAATTGGTGTTAATTCTTCTTCATATTTGGTAGGAAAACCATGTGACCTGAAGTTCTCTTTTTTGAGGAATTTTTAAAATGTAAATTAAATTTACTTAACAATTATAAGGCTGTTCAAATTATTTCATTGGTAGATTATTTTAATTTTAACTTTTTTGAAGAATTGGTCCATTTTACATAAGTTGTCAAATGTCCGTAAAAATCATCTTAAATTATGAGTACACTGAAGATATCTTAATGCAGAATTTTTCATTTTCTTAACTCCTGTAGTCTACCTGCAGTGTGTCTATTTCATCAACTCATTAAATATATCCATCTAATGTCTCAAGCTCCAAAGTAAGTCATCTTCAATTCTTCTCTTTCCCTTATTCCCAACCCTATTTATAGTTTCAAAATATATCCAGAAAGCAATATATATCCAGAAACCAACCTCCTCTCATTTCCACTCCAGGCCAGGCCACCAGCATTTCTCACCTGAACCACTGTTATGCCCTCAGAGGTGTTCATTCTTCCACACCTGCTCCCTACGATTCACCCTTTTCATAGCAGACAGATCACAGAATTTCCCTATTCCTTGGAGAGATATCCCAGCACACAAAGACTGAAATCCCAATTCCTTACCCTGGCTATAAGGCCCTAAGCACTAGTATGCTTTGACTAGAGCCCCTGTCTTCCTCTATGCAATCATCTGTAAATGCCTCCTGGCTCAGGAGGTATGCCCCAGCAGCTGCATCCTTCTTTTTGTTCCTTTAGGATGCTTGGCCCATTCTCTGCTTGCAGTCTTTGCACAAGCTTCTACCTCTGTTGACATGCTCTTTCCCCCAAACATCTCATGGCTGATGGTTGGCTCCGTCTTGTGTGATTTGTATCCCAGCATAATTAAGAGATGTCTTTCCTGACCACTCAATCTACTGACTTCCTATCTTACCAGTCTGGGTTCAATAGTCTCTGCAACACTTACTCATAAGTGATATTTTCTTATTTACTCCTTGTTTAATTGTTGTTTATTATACTGGCGTGCAAGCTCCTTGGATGCAGGGGCTTCCATTTCTTTCTGACTGTTCTATCTCTGGCACCTAGAACCATACATGAAACATAACAAAGGCTCAATACATAATTTCTGCATCAATGCATGAAAGTGCTCTGCTTAGTATCTTATCTTATTTCACTCTCCAACAAACAAATTAAATATTTTGATCCCCATTTTATAGATAAGAAAACGAGGCTTTAAAATAATTAGCCCAACCATACAACTGCAGTAGTGTATGTTTTCTGCCTATTTTAAACTAGGGACACCATCCCTTATGGCAAATGCATGAGAGCAAGAATTTCAAGAAGTATGTTGCTAACCTGTGTGTATGGATCTATTCGTAGCTCAGACACTTTCAACGAAAGTTCTGAAAGTTTCTGGAGAGCATGCTTCATGATTTCATTTAAATAATTATTCCACAGAGTCTGGTGGGAATGGGAAGGGTTATAGAAGACAAGGGGTTACTGTTAAATCTGTTTAATTCTAAGATTTTAGGAGTGCTTCTTTCTTTATTGTAAAAGAACACCATTTCATGCATGGTATTGTTGTGAAATATTAGTTCCAACTAGAATTGTCACAACTGTCAAGAAAAAAAAAGAGCCTGTCTAGATATTTAAAAGCTGGAGGATGCATATCCATATGTACTAAATCTCTTTAATATTTACATTTATACAAAACAAGCAAAAAACAAAATAAACAGACCAAATCCCTGGAGTATAAATTAGAATGAAGAGAAATCCTGCAGCCTGCCCAAGGATTTAAGAATGAAAAGAAAAACAAAACCCAGACAAAACCCCTTCGCCTTTAACTAAGGCAAGCCTATAGCCCTCTGGCTTTCAAAGTGACTGCTTACCTCAGTAACATTGCCTTTTAATAGAAAAGCACTTGGTGAAAATTGGAGACTCTCCCAATGGTGCCCACTAATAAAATCAGTCCATTAGGCCCTGGCAGGCTCGATCCCAATAGGGGGCGAGCAGGAGGCAGCCGATCCATGTTTCTTTCTCCTTTCCTCTCTCTGTAAAATTAATAAAAACATGTTTTTAAAAAGTCCATTGGGCCCTAGCCAGTTTTGCTCAGTGGATAGAGAGACGGCCTGCAGACTGAGGGGTCCATGTTTCTTTCCCCCTTCCTCTCTCTGTAAAATTAATAAAAACATATGTTTTTAAAAAGTCCATTGGGCCCTAGCCAGTTTGGCTCAGTGGATAGAGAGACGGCCTGCAGACTGAGGGGTCCAGGGTTCCATTCCGGTCAAGGGCATATGCCCGGGTTAGGGGCTCAGTCCCCAACAGGGGGCGTGCAGGAGGCAGCCGATCAATGATTCTCTCTCATCATTGATGTTTCCACCTCTCTCTCCCTCTCCCTGCCTCTCTGACATCAATAAAAAATATATTTTAAAAAAAGAACAAAGAAAGTCCATTGGCGGGGAGCTAGCAAGTTGCAATTTGCCTTTTAGAAATATGAAGTAACTGAGGAAGGCTCTCCTCTGAGGCTAACACAGCAAATTCGTTTCGGAGCTCAGTCACCTGGAGGCGAAGCATAGGGGCTTAAAAGTTGTGGTTCCCAGGCTACTGTATTTTAAAGCATATAATGACTTTTTTTTTTCTGATTTCCAAATACCTGAGCCTGGACAGTGCAGAAAGCAGCTGAATTTCTCTAACAGCTGATTTTCCACCTCTGTGCCCGTGAAGTGGAGGGTATTTCTCTGTGACTGAACAGCTTCTCCTGGATTGGGAGGTAACCCTTCTACTCTGCTTTTTAGAGTCGGGGTCAGCGCCTCCAGGGAGCCGTCCCACCAATTAGGCTTTCTGAATCTGATTAACATTGTGCCAGGGAACTGTCTGGTGTCTGACCTTGAGCAGCTTGCTTCCCTACTTGCCTTTTATTTTTGGAAACATTTTTGCACAGCCTCGGACCCTCAGACTCACCCCGCAGCGGGCTGGATTGCATTAGCAGGCTCCTTTTATGAGTATCTGAAGGGTTGCAGCCCCAGTGACCTGTCATCTGTCCCCTCCCTGACTTCCATGCTGATTCATTGATGAGCTGGCATCCAGGCCCCGCCTCCCTCCGAGTGGTCCGTGAGGTTGTGATAGCTCCAGGAGGGGGGATGCTGAGCTGAGCCTCCGCAGGTCCCTACAAGTGTGAAGGGCAGCCTGTCTGTGCCACAGAAGAACTTGGGGACCATTCTGAGAAGCAGCCTTTTCTCACAACCCTGTTCCTCTTCTGTCTGTCTCGGCTTCTCTAGCTTTTTACAGGAATTTCCGATTGAGGCACTAACAGCTAATTCCACAGGAGTTGTGAGGCAGCCTGTGACACAAACTGAGACAGAAGTTTCCCCTCAGAGGCTGTCTCTTTTTTATTGGCAAAGACTTCTGGCTCCCCTCAGAGGAATACCTTGTTGCTTAAGATGAGTGGCTGTAGAAAACGGTGTAAACGTGAAATATTGAAATTTGCCCAGTACCTTCTCAGACTATTAACAGGTTCTCTTCATACAGGTAATGACTTTTTTATTTTTCTTCAATCGAGGCCGGGAGAGCATGATAACGAAGTTGAAATGGAATAGGAAAGGCTCACTGTGTTTCTGTGTTGTGTTTATTCTGAATGTTGTCACTAACATACAGTTGGTGGGTGTTTGCTGAGATGCACGTTGCTAGCGATGTGTGCAGTGCAGCTTTCATTGAGGGTCGATCTGGATTCTGTGGATGTATTTTTCATGTTTCTGACAGGGTTGCCTTGCCGTTGAATGTGCCTCAGTCTAAGCAGGCAGTGTCTTCAGTGTGGAAGGAAATTTTTTAAAAAATGCTTGATTGTGTGAGGGGTTTTTCCTGCTTGCTGCAGTTTACTGGGGAATCACATAGCTGGAGGCAGTGTCTTCAGTGTGGAAGGAAATTTTTAAAAAAATGCTTGATTGTGTGAGGGGTTTTTCCCCTCTCTCCTGCTTGCTGCAGTTTACTGGGGAATCACATAGCTGTGTTTAGAGATTCTGCAGGTATTTAGCAATTCTGCAGGTACTTAGAAATTCTCAAATTCTTTGATCACTCTAATCCATAGATTATTTCTAGGATTTGGTCATACAGCAGGGCAGTGAGAGAGTGGAGGACGTTTCTCTTGGGTTTGCAAAATGTGAAAGCAGCTGAAGAGTAAATTGTCCATGAGAGAGGTTTGATATTTGTTTCATTGCAGGGGATTTCAGTGTTTAAAAATTTGCATGGTTGAAATAGAAACTCTTATCTAAATCTAAGTTTTTATAGCAAGGAAATATTTTTAAAATGTCCACAAATCATGAGCCTAAACTGATGGGCACCAGTTTTGGTGCCCATGAAATTTCTAGGCAATGCCTCATTAACATAGTGACAGGTAGTATCAAAACTATTTGGAATCTGTTACAGAAATAGATATATTTCATAGACCACCAAACTTCTGACAGGCAAAGCTTGGCTAATATATTGCATTTTGATTTGATTCTCCCATGAAGAACTATTGTATGTTTTCAACTTATGTCTGTTTTCTTTAAGTAATGAGGAAGAAGAGTTTGTAACAAAACCTATACACTGTCAGGCAAGGCAAATGAGAGCAACATTTTCTCTAGGAAATATACTCTCTGGTTAATAACAGAATTGCATATCTGATTATACGGACAACCTGAGCAGGAAAAACAATTTTGAGACAGTGACTGTGAAAATCTAATGATTTCTGAGAGCATTATTAAGTATTAATAACTGTAAAAGGGTTATTATCAGATGCGAATCTTTAAGCAGTGCAAATTGAGGTGCTTTTTGATGCTTTTGGAGTAATCATTGAGAGTCTTTACCTGACTTTTGTCAACTTGGAGCTCAGGTGTATTTTTTCAAATGTAAATGTCTTTACATTTCTATTGTATAAACTTCCGCCCGTGTGACTCTGCTCTGTAGTATCAATGTGATCAATAATATCCATGTGGTATTTGCTTTGAGTATTCAGTTCAGGGTGGTGTGCCATTTGTGATATCATGTTTCATTGGATGATACTCAATATGTGACCTTTTATCTCGCTATAAAATTAGGAGAAATATTTTATAAAGAAAGCTGTCCATGAGGTTTCCATGCCAGTCTGTGTTTTGCTCTTTGATCAGGCAAGTTAAGGTTCTACCTGTGTCTGATTAGATTTAGGTGCAGGGCTGTGCCTCTCTTGCTAAGTCTGTGTATAGTTTTTTTTTAACTCCCGACTTAAAATAATTTTATGAAGATAGTAAATGGTTGTGAAGTCATAGACCATAAGTATCGAATCCAAAGTAAAGTGGTTGTCAAGTGACTGGATAGTTATATAGAATATGAAGTTTATAGAAAGCTAGTAAGGCAGCATTATTTTAAGCCTTATAGAATGCATATTTAAAAGTCAATAAAGATGGGATTCCTTCTCTTCTTTTTGAGCCGCAGTAGGAAAAATATAAGAACTCTGAGAAGTAGAACAGACAGATTATAATAAAGTAGTAAGATTAATTTTTACCTGGGAAATGTGATTACAGCAACTTATGTTTTGTGAAAATGCTTTTCGACTCAGTCAAATGTTGTAAAAATCCAGCCAGAATCTTTACAACTTCTCAAAATGCAACTTGGAAAAGCCAATTTATGTATTTACTAGAAGCAGTGATAATATGCACTGTTCATATTGCAAAATCTAATGTAAAATTCATTAGGGCACTTTCAAGTCCCTTAGCTAGTAATTAATGAAGAAGTAGGAAGCAGAGTTGAATTAGTTGTAAAAATTTGCTTTAAGGTTGGATATGCAGTCAGTTGCTAATTGTATCCTGAACAATCAACAAATGTCTTGTAGTTATCAAAAATTTAAAGCAATATGAATATGCCTTGAATAATTTTACTTTTCATTTTATGAAGAAGCCCTTTATCCTCACTTTTCCAATTAAAGATGTGATCTGAGGAAATAGTGATTTTGTTTTACATTGGAAAACAGGTTGATTCTGAAATGCATAATCTGTATTGTTGACAGTTGCCTTTCATTTCATACCAAAATGCCCATGCCTTTACATGAACATAGAAGATTTGAAGTGCAAAGAAATGTTTATGGACACAAAATCGGCTTTGATATGTCTTATTAGGGTTATCACAAGTTAGGGGAAAACAGTTTTCTGAGAGCTTGTCATATAACTTTTGGCAATAACTAGGATTGCATATCAATCAGTAATTTAATTGGTGATTTTCCCCCCAAATAATCTTTATGCTAGAGAGTGATAATTCAATGGTAAAGATTTGTCCAGATAAAATAAGATACTTTCATTTTACCAGAAACATTTTACATACGAGTACCATGGCAAATCACTTTCAAAGAGTGGGTTTTACAAACACATATATTTGCTGTATTTATCATGAAAATATGAGCATTGTTAAGACCCTTTGTTATAAATAATGCAACTCAGAAGTCCATTTGCAAATATAAATTAACTAGAAGCCCGGTGCACAGATTCGTGCACTGGTGAGGTCCCTCGGCCTGGCCTGCAGGGATTGGACTGAAACCAGCTCTCTGACATCCCCCGGGGGTTCCCAGATTGCGAGAGGGTGGTTCTTGGGTAACGCACCCCAGAATTGGGCTCCCTCCTCTCTGGTTCCGGGTGCACCACCGGAGAACCACAGCTGCCAAGTCATCGCAGCTCGGCAGCTCCTGAGTTGAGGGTCTGCCCCCTGGTGGTCAGTACACATCATAGTTACTGGCCGGTGGGCCAGTGGGCCGGTGTGCCAGTCACTTAGGCTTTTATACATATAGATGGCTACCATGTTCAGTGTAGTGAGGTGCAATACAGAAATCAGTTATCTGAATATGAGACCTGCAGTTCCGTGTGCCATATTATATTCAGTTCTAGATGGGGTTCCTGGTAAGTAGTATATTCTTGTACATTTAAATAAGTGGAGATAATCTATGAGGATTGTAGTATGATGCTAGTAATATGAAACTTATTCTGTTGATGGGCAGTTTGTGTACCTTCGGAACCCACAGAATGTTTTATCATTTAAAAGCTGACCCATGAGAAAAGGATGAATAATATTACAGAAATCAAATTTGGACTTCCTTCTTTATGTGTGAAATTTAATAATGGAATGTTTTGTGGTACTTACTTGGAGGTTGTTTGGGCATTTATCAGTTCTCTATGTATAGTTTTCTTGAAAAATCAACACCTGAACACATTTTCCTGTTGGCAAGTGTTCCCAAAACGCACTTCTGAGATGGATACAGCCTGGAGCTCTGTTTCCGGCTTCAAGACTGCTATCTTCAGGTGTGGTGAAGTTTAACTCCCTGTCTAAGTGAACAAAAGCAATTTAATCAAAATATTAAGTTGCTGCTTAACTAGTTGGCTAAACTATTTTACATTTAAAGTAATTATACTATTAAAAGCATGTGGTAAGTGTTCATCATTTCATCTAGTAGAGAACTTCAGATTAAAAGAAAGCATGAGAGCATTTGTTTCACACATTTGCATTGAGTGGTTTGTTCTGTGGATCAAGATAGTCACAAAAGGAATGATACAAATATTTAGATATCTTCATGTTGCATTTTTAAATTTTATATATATATATATATATATATGTTGATTAAAAGATTTTAAATTGAATTTTAGAGAGAGAGAGGAAGAGAGAGAATCATTGATGTGAGAGCAAAACATGGGTCAACTGCCTCCTGCACGCCCCCTATCGTGGATAGAGCCTGCAACCCAGGCATGTGCCCTGACAGGGAATTGGACTGGCAACCTTTCAGTGCATGGGTTGACATTTAACCAACTGAGGCACACCATCCCAAGCATATTTCCCTGACCTGGAATGGAACCAGAGACCTCCTGGTGCACTCACACTCACCATCGAGCTACACTGACCAGGGCTAGTTTGCATTTTTAAGTGTGAAGAGAAAATAGTGACCCTTAGCAAAATCAGGTAACTAAGAAAGCCTGTCTCTAGTCACGTGTAGCTTCCCTTTCTGTTCCCTTCTTTCCCTTCCAGGTTACCAGTCACAGGATCACGTTGGCAGGCCCCTCTGACCTCCTCTTCTGTCTCCCCTCTCTGCCACATTTGAACACAGGACAGATGCATCTCAGGAAAAGGGTGTTTCTGAAGGCCTCACATAATTAAAAATTCACAAAACTCAAGTTTAATCCAGGCAAAAGATGACAGGTGTTTCTGTTTCCCAGTTCATATGGCCCTGACATGCAACAGTTGAATAAGCAGTTTATATTCCCTTGGCGTATCAGCTCTGAAATCATGCTAGTCTCGATTAATTTTAAAAAATTTATTCATATATTGCTGATAAAGTGAAATTAGATTTCTTATGGCACTATGTAAAATTCGCATTATTGAAATGCACATAAAATGCCACCATTTATTAGTATACTCAGTCTTGTGCTTCTTCTACTGAAACCTGCCCTCAGGTAAGAAGAAAGCAAAGAAGGTTGATGTCCTGTATACTTAATTACCAAAGAATATATGTCATTGCATGCTTTTCCCCCCAGCAGAGT